TAAAATTCCGTGAAATTTCATGAATGATTTAGTGATTTTACATCATTTCAAAATACGACGTCATACAAATGAAAACTTAAAAGGGAAAGATTATTTCACTACTTGTATGCTTCAAATTTGAATTATTTCTCATTAAAATGAAGTTTTTGATGAAGGTGCCATTTCATTTCAAACTGTAGGAGGAGTGATCCTGAAAAGCTATGCACCTCTTATGCAAGTAAATACTCCAAAAATGACAAAGTACAACTGTCTCGCAAAAGAGCAAATATCAATAAAAATCAAAACCCTGACCACATGCACATCTTCAATATATGTACAAACCGCCAGCAAAGTGAAAACATATATTCAAATGTACTTACCATCCATTTCTTTCATTTTTTTTAATTTCTTTCATTTTTTTTATATCTATTTTACCAATTTTTCCATATATATATATAGAGATCAAAACCATAAAAGATATTTCTTGTGATTGGGAAATCAAATTTTATATGCTGGTATATATATTTATCTTACCTCCTATACACTTGTAGGAATATGATTGGTTAAAAGCAACCGTGTGGAGACCATGTATATTCCATATTAGGTTAGTAAGCGGGGCTTATTTCTATACACGGTTAGTAGTGGTGTTATGTCCCTTTATTATAACAAAACTGTACTGAGAAAAAATCTTAAAGGTTTCAACAGACGATCAAATTGATGATGAAAGATTGAAATAAATTCATAAAACACATTTAAAGCTAACAAGTTGTTATTGTTGGCATTTTTTTTTTGTATGACCAATGGAAGTAGTTTCTTAATGCTAACGGTATTGAAGACTTGCTCACTTTGATAGGTCACTAGTCTAAATACCACATGTTAAGATAGTGGGTAAGATAAATTCGTTACATAGTGTGCTAGTGACGTAATACGGTATATATGGGGTCAGTAAATACCATATGGGGATTCGAGCGAATCCCCATATGGTATTTACTGACCCCATATATACCGTATTAGGTCACTAGCACACTATGTAACTAATTATTTTATCAGAGAACAATTTAGAATATGGACAACATAAAACTTTTTTTATCTTTTCATTGGAATGAATAGTGGAATATATATATCATAATGGAGAGTATGGATGGGGTTTACAGAATAGAGAATAATTGACAAAAAAGTGCAGAATAAAGGACAAACAAATCAAGAATAGAGAAACAATTGCAAAAATAATACAGAATATTGAATAATGGGGCACACAGATATAGTGAAGAGAGATAATATGAATGGGCAAAATAAATATTAAAGAGAGAGGAAAATGGTATAATATTTAAAGAATAAAGACATAAAGGACCCCCTCAGTCATCCAAACCCTCATTTAGCAGAACAGTAAAAAAGATAAAAATCTACTTTCAAGGAGTGTATTATATGTGGACTTTTTCAAACAATTTCATACATTCCCCATATCTTTAACTATTATTATATTACCAAATACTTACATCTGTCCATTATTATGTTGTCTTTTAGGTCACATTGCATTTCAAGCTGCGATGTTCAATACTTGCACAGTTGTACACCTAGAAAAAAAAAATTTCTGCAAAAATAAGATAAAACAGTCTTGTGAAACTTAGGCAAACTGTCATACTAGTATATAGATACAGAATCGTGTGACTTTCTAACAGAAAATTTACATCACATCAATGAGAAATTGCAAAAAGGAAATAAAATTATTCATTTGTCACTTTCTTTGTTGATGATACATGAGGGCATTAGCGGCCTTATTTTTACATGTTTACAAATCAGTATCCAGGAGAGCAGTAAATATAGAGGCTCTGCACCCTCCCCCTGAAATTTTGCACCCTGGTGCTCTTTAGGGAACCAGGTGCTTTTTTCAAGTAAGGAAAGAGTTTAAATATTATCTATCATGATGCCTTAATCATCAAAAAGAATGCAGGACAAAATTTTTCATCCTAGCCCACCCATAAAAATCAAATGGTTAGCTCCCTAATAAAAGATGATTTAATTGATCATTGAAATGTGTGTCAGAATGAGAACTTCTCAATGTTCATTTCTTTAGGAATATTTATTACCCTAAATTAATGTTTTTATTGTCGTTAAGTGCCTGACACAGTACTGAGGATAAAATTTTCATATCTCTTCATTTATATCTACAAATTCTTATGATGTTTCACATCATGCACTGGGGGATTAAAACCCATGAAATTGAAATTTTTCACACATAATTGACTAATAGTAGTACATGTAATTGGGAATGTAATCATGTAATAATGTTTTTCCCAGTAGGCAGTTTAACCAAACTTCAGATAGAGGAGACATTATAAATCTATTATACATGTACTATAAACACAGCATGCACAGGACATGTGATCCTACCATAATGATGAACTGAGTATATACTGTTGGGGGACTCCCTTTAACAAATAATGCGAAGTTAAAATTTTGCTATTTAGATTCTGTGAATTTTTAAAATTTAAAACATTCTTCTAGCTTGTTGGAAAAAAATATTATTTATAAAATTATACTTAATCATCTGCAGAATTTTTTTATTAATGAAAAAAAAAAAGAATTAGCATAAATGATTAATCTATAAACATGATAAAGATTATAGTCGATCCGATCCGGGTAATTTCGTACAGGCAGGTAAATACAATACATATTACATTTCTCTTGTTTATCAAACAGGGAACCAAATGACTTTCATTTAGGACCGAAAGTGTACGGAATTACCCCAACCGACTCTAATGTAAGATCAACCTCCTTGGTAAGATATGTACATGCATTCATACACTGGGGCTCCAGTAGGGTTTCACCCTAAGGTCACAAGGCTTTTGACCTTAAATGAATGGTGTCTAGAAATTTCTCCAGGTTACTTTTAAGCAAATAGAACAGTTTTGAACATTTAAAAAGTCCCAAGTACATGTAAATATTCAGGGGTGTGGAAATGTATGTTGTGAGCACTTGTCCGTGGGCAAGTAAAACTGTAAATTTAACTTGTCCGTAAAAAAAGTTACTTGTCCTGAAAGTCCCAATAAATATTGAAGTATTTAACTGATAGCTTGTATGCATGATTCTTAGAACTGTTTTGCATCACAATATAAATGAAAGTCATTGTGTTTATGTGTACAAATAAAAGAAGGTAATGGGTTAACATCAATGGGACAGAAACCCAACAGCAAACCAACCGAATGAAATGACACTTAGAGGACAATTTTGCAGCAATATTTAATTATAAATTCTAGCCAGTAGGTACATATATACTAAATTTTGAGGACAGTGAGTGAAGAAATGAAAACTAATAATAGATTAACTATTGAATTTTATTTGTTTCTCTCAACTGCTTGGCTTTTCTTGATAGTTAATGGGCAATTAAAGTGTCCCTTCTATCTACCACTTTGCCAACAAATAAGGTTGACTTTTGATCGGCAAGGGTCGGATGCTGTCTACAAATTATACAAAATTTCAATTTATTTTCCGAATTTTCTTCCCTAGATAGCCAGGGGGAATCTGATACCCACGATGTCTGAAATGCTCCCTTCCGATTTTTTTTTTTCATACTTCTTGTCCTTCTCCGTTTGCGTTTTACATTTTCTACACGACTCGTCACTCTTTTTGTCTTGATTGCCCTGTATTTTTATTAAGTATTTTTCAGAAACTCGATACAAAACTAATGAAATGACACTTCCGTTAAATGATGGATATATCCTAATCGACAATCCCAGGTCAATGGACAAAGACAATGCAATGTTTACGTGACCCGGGTTCGCATACTTATTTTTTTTTTTAATTTTGGTAATCGATCTACTTCTGTTATTTAATATTCATCGTCATGAACATTGATGTTTTGACTTAAATATATGTTTTTTACTCTCTGATCATTGGTTTCTTTTACATGAAATTAAACATCTTTATAAGTTTTGAAAATAATTCTTTATTTTTGTTTGAACTAAACTTTGTCATGCATATTATTTTACTTGTCTACGAGCAACTCAGACAAAATAAATTACTTGTTCGGGTGTTCAAATGTACGAGTCGGGCGAGTCGGGCATAGCATTTCCACACCCCCGATATTAATAAGACATAAGATGGCTCGCCAACAATGTATTAAAAAAATTTTAAACAGATATATACATACAGAATAAAAGTGACAAGCCATTTTTACATTTTCACTTGGGGTTTGTGTTGATAGTAAAAAAAGGTATTGTAATCGACTAATAATGGATTGTTGAGACTTGTTATCAGGTTATATGTCTAACATTGTAGAAAATTGGAAATACGGGAAAAAAAAGATTTTTTTTTAAGTGGGCCCAATACGGAGGGTCCATGCCCCAAATACCTGTGATGTAGATGAATAGAAAATAGGGATTTTGTGCAAGTAAAGCCTAGATTTTTGTAAAAAAAAAAAAACACAGACTTTTAATTAGTTTTATCTATTACAGATTTTCATTATAAAATTTAACTTACTTACAAGTATTATGTCCATGCCAGCATTTATCGTTTACAAAAAGTCCTACACAACATTTAAAAATACAATCCAGTCAAGCACACCCTAAATTTTGGCTAAAAGGTGTACTTGAATAGGTCCATATTTTATAGTAGTCTTGATTCAATGAATTATCTTTATTTCTGAATTTTAAATTTGTTTTATTAAACTGTAGAAGGGAAATTATTGCTCTATCTATTAAGCATTGACTTAATTGTGGTCAAGCAGATGACAAAAAAATATTCTAAATCCAGATTTCCCCATATCCTACCTTAGGATTTCCTAACTGAAGTGGTTCATCTGGAAAAGGTGGAATTTACAGAACAGGTAACAGGTCTGTGGAATCGGAACAAACATTCTGACCTTCAATCTGTTAAAGTTCGATCTACAAGAGCCAAGAAAGAGTCAGAGTGGCAGTGTCGATAGAAAAAACGTCTGTTATCCAAATAAATCAGGGAACCAGTTCAAGAAAGACAAACTTTTTGTGACCTTGAACTGAGACTACTATAACAGTAGTCTCAGCCTTGAAGATGCAGGTCATGCAGAGCTTTGCTGAATGAAAACACGTCAGTACGACAGGAGCATGTTGTTGAAATGATTTCAATATATATGGTAAACATTTAGTTAAAACAAGTGTGAGAGCAATGTACGTTTAAAAAGGGACTGGATTTTTTTTGGGGGGGGGGGGGGGATGGGGGAAGGGTTTAAAGGTTGATAAGGGACCACCATTTGATTTTTATGGGGCTAGGATGAAAAATTTTGTACTTCATTTTATTAGTTGTAATGTCTTTCCTCAGCCACAGCCTTTGTATTTTTCACTCTATTCGGTCCTGCCTTTTTAAGTTTTTTGTATTAAAATTGAGAATGGATATGGGGATTATTGTGTCAAAGAGACAACAACCCGACCAAAGAGCAGAAAACAGCCAAAGGCCACCAGTGGGTTTTCAACATAGCGAGAAAATTCCGCACCCGGAGACGTGCTTCATCTGGCCCTTTAACAAAAATGTGTACTAGACTTACATTAGTTTATCCTGACTTTTTTTTCCATAAATAATCATCCTGCCTTTTTTTGGGCCAAAGTGTCTCATCACGCCTTTTTATTACTCAAACCCCTGTCCTGCTTTTTTTTCCAAATTTCATTCTGATAATTTTTTTTTATTATAGTCTAGTTGCATCATGTTTATTATTTGAACAGAGTATGTTAAAGTTTGTTGAAAAATTTGCCGAAAAATTTGTATTTGCTGCAACCAAAAATGAAATATAAATTATTTTCCTTTAATTTGCATAGTGGAATACTGGAATACAGAAATTGTCTAAAATGCAGGTTGCGGGTTTAAGTATTAGATATACCACAAGGGTATTAGCATGAGAGGGTGTATCTAATTTACACAATTTTATGATCAATGTTAAAGGCAGGGTATCCAATTACATTAAACAACATTCTGGTGTAAATAAACTTCCCTACTGAAAATGAGTATGGGATTCCACTGGATTTCCAGTGAAATTACACTGGTATTCAGTGGAAAAAAATATTCCGATGGAATCCCATTAGAATTTCATCCAAAACATCTGGAATATTTTTCACACTGTAATTCCAATGGAAAATCAGTGAAATTTCCAATGAAACTTCCAAAGATTTTCCAATTAATTTCCAGTGGAATATTATTGTTTATATTTCAGTGGAGTTTTGATTTAATGCAAATATTCCAGTGGAATTTTGGACTTAGAAATTTAAAGGAATATATACTTCTAATTTAAATTTTTCAAATAATTAAGTGCATGATTATTATATAAAGGATTTAATTTGTAACATATAATTTGCTGGCCTGATAAGAAATTAAATATTATAATCATGATAATATATGGGATGTAATGAATATTTCATAAACCTACATATATACATGTATATGAAACATTTGTTCAAAAAATGTTACATGGTTAAATGTGATATGAAATCACTTGCCTAGTAACAAATGAAAATAATCATTTATTAGGATAGGAAAGGATACATTTTAACTATTAAGAAATAAAATTAAATGTGCAATAAAATTAATATAATCAGATAATATAAATAAAGAAATGAATATTTTATATCAAATTGGGTTGAGAATAAGATTCTGTTTGATTTAACGAACAAAAACAATTAAGATTCTTTTTGAAAAATGTGCATGGCTCTTAAAAGGGCCGTTTTAAACAGATCTGTTGCAGAAATTATCTTCAGACTGTACGAATTGTTAGGATAACTCCGTTTTTTTCTTCAAGTGACCGTACTGGCAACTGCCCTGCACTACAGTCTACATGTATACAATAATATAATTATTTCTCCTTTGACTTCATCATGTTCATTAACTGTTACTGGTCTACTGTTCTTTTGAGAAAAGTAAAGTGAACGGCTTTCATTTTCCACATTGTTCTATAAACTGTTTCGGTATCTTAACTTTGTCGGTGTGATGAATTTTTCATCATTTTCATGTCCTGAACTCGGCACTGGAACTCGGGTCATATAAGTTAATCTATAGAAACATTTCACATATAATCAGCTCCAATCAATTGTACGCTAAATGTCAGTGTTTTGGCATAATTTGAGCAGAAAATTCGTGAAACTGTAGTCTATAATGTTGTTTTTCAACACACATGTTTACATTCATGGAGGCTGCCATTTTTTTCTACCAGACTATATATATAACCGCTGATTTGATTGGATAACTCTATTTCCGGGATTTCCGATCGGCCAATCAGATAGTCGTTATCATTAATACACGGAATGTGTTCAAATTTGAAACTAAAAATATTGTACGAGTATGTATCCTGTCCAGCATTGTCCAGCTGTGGTTACATTAATCATGTTAATAATAATTAATACTCAACAACCTTCGATAAATAAAGAAATAGACGTTAAAGGCAGAACATTTAGGTATGACATTAGCTGTTGAACCAAGAATTTACGATGAGACGATGTGCTGATGTAGGGCAGACGTACAGCAGATACAGGTAATTTTTAAGAGATTTTACATTTGATTTTTACATCATGAATATTTTTAATTAAAGTTAAAAAAAAAGATATACACCCCCTTTAGTTTCATTCATGGGCTCTGTTAGTTCACACTTTGAGGATGACCATTTGGTGTTCTGAAAAGGGGGAGGTGGGAATGTAATAATAATTTTATTATTCAATATTGAATTACATTGTGTGCCTTCACAATCAAGTAAAGATGTTTACAGTTTACTACACAATGTCAGGCACATTCAACTTAATTTTGTCATGTTCTGATTTTGATGGACATGCAACACAAAAAATCCCTAAAGGTTAATATTGTGTTTTAGAGTATTTATACTTAACTGAAAGAAGCTTCTTAATTATATATGTACATTGTATGATAAATATCAGTAATATATGGTGCATACAGGTCATGACCAGAATTAAAAGTTATTAATAAAATGTTTTTACATTTTTTTTTAGGTTGTCCATATATTAAAAGGGATTGATCATGGTGAAGGTACAAAGCTGCAAAAATGATGACTCTGCATCGATCAATATCCACTCAATAATATGAAAACACGATGAAAACAAACGAACCAGCAGCAGAAAAGAAATTTGAGTATAAGATTATTGAAAGGTACTTATTGAATTATTTTTTCATCCTTCCCACACTTGAAATAAAAATACATTAATCATGTTAATCATTCACATCTATAAGCTGTAAACACATCTCAAAAACATTGATCTGATCATCATGCACAATGGTTAATCATGGCTATTATGTGAACAAAATGAGGTGTCTGGTATGCTTCAACCAGATAGTAAACCAACAACAAACACAACACAAAGGGAAAGATAATATGAGGCTAAATAAACATATTTGCGTTGTTCCAATTACCTTACCTACCTTTTTTTTTAGTCTTAACAATAGCCTACCCTAAAGATTTTTTTGTCATTTTTTAGTAAGTACTGTTTAAGTCAGAATGTTGCTCCCATAGACATGATAGACTCAATGTAAAAAAAAACCCATAAAATAAAAAAAATTCTTACCTACCTACCCTAATTTTTTTTTAAATGTACCGTAACTGGAACCACACATACTATTTTATTTGGCTTTGATAGACACCTGATCCATGAACAATAAAAGTCTATTTTGATAAAAAGAGATGTGTGTTATAAGTCTAAGAGACAGCAACCCAACAACTATAGCCAAAGATATCTAGAGAACACATAGTCTTCAACAATAGACATACATGTGTCTAAATTGCTCTTAGTGTATAAATGTTGTGAATAAATTACACACAAACACAAATAAAATATGCCAGTAACATATATTTTTGAATAATTGCAGACTGGAGCATGGTATTGTAATGTTATTCTAATTCAAAATTCTATGCATGTTATGATGTATGATTTTTTTTCTTTCAGATTAATCAATGAAGACTTAATGGAACAGGATTGGAATGCAGAAACTTTGGACTTAATTCATGAATAATATCAATGGATGATGAAGAAAACTGACCAAACTGACAAAGTATTTCGTATGCATGTTAACTGGACATTTTTGTTTGTTTAATGCACAATAAACAAATTTGTAAAATTGAAAATTAAAACCATTTGAAAGATTTCAAAAGGACCAAAAGTTACCATGGACTTATGAATGATTTAACCAGAAAAATGATTTACATGTACAATTAAGTAAATACATCTTTGCCTAAAAAATGATAATTTATCAACGTTAATATTTTAAAGAGGTTGATCTTTTCGTTTAAAAGGTCTTAAATGTGGATGATGTATAAACTGTTGTAATTTCTTTAATTGTTGACTTGCATTAAAATGGTTATTGTCTTATTTCAAGTTTTCTTATTAATTCATTCAAAAATAAGCAGTGCATGCAAAATGATATCTAACATTTCGGTGGAATTGTCAATTTCCATTGAAATATCACTGGTTTTCTTTGGTTGATTGTTACAATTTCCAATGGAATTACCACTGGTATCCCAGTAGAAAACAATAAATGTCCAGTGGGAAAACAATGGTATTCCAACGAAGTTTTCACTGGTATTCCAATGGAATTTCCACTGTATTCCACTCGAGTATTCACCGGAATCCCACTGGATATTCCACTGATATCCCAATGGAAAACAATGAATGTCCAATGAAAATCCCGACCAAATTTCCCAGTGGTAATACAGTGGTATTCCAATGGAACTCTGATGAAACTCCACTGGTATTTTCAGTGAAATCCCACTTTACATTTTCAGTAGGGCTTACACCTATAAATAGAAATCTATCAATTTACATTAATCATAATATCTTGAGATGTAAATGCACTTAATTGGTCTAACACCCTCAGGGTTTATCTAATACATACACTTTCTGTTCGAAAAGAGAAAACTTAATTAACAAACATTTGGGTAAAACTTTCAACAAATGCATAGAACATACATATTAAAACATCAAGACTTGACACAGTTTTTATATAGTGGTAAAGACTTATTGCCTTTTAACTCGATGTAGGTTTCTGGATTTTTTTAGCTTTTTAGTTCTACTGCATTCATAGCAAGGGTCCGTCTCAAAAGTCTACCTATTTAAAAGTCTTGTCTTAAAAGACTGCGTTTATACGCTATGA